AGAGAGAGAGAACTTTATCTTAGGAAAATGGCTCACACACTTATAGTAGCTGGCAAGTCTCAAGATCAAATGTCAAGCTGGAGGCTTTTCCCGACTCACATAGCTGCAGGGGCTGATGAGCTCAAGATTGGCAGGCAGTATACTGGCTCTTGACTCTGACGGATGACCAATCCAAGATCACCAGGCCAAACGGTGGATTGTTTGCTCATGGACAGTTGTAGGCAGCACAGTAGGATCCAGGTCCACCGAAGAGTCTGTCTTTTTCCAGGATGCCCATATATATATTGGAACCAGGTCCAACCCTAGGGAAACACCCTTTCAACAGATTGGCTGCTCAGAACATATACATCTGATCTCTGCATGGAAATAACCACTCAACTGCTTAAACCACTCAGAATCGTGGTCCACCCAAGTTGACACATAACCCTGACTATCACATGGATCTATCTCCTTTGCTTTTCCTGTTTCAGTCATGGAGCTCTCACCACATGTGGCACATTATCTATCCAGAGGTGCAGAACCTCCCTGGCCAAACAAAGGGATCCTGTGAAACTCTGGTGTTAGCGAAACCTCCTTTAGGCACCATAACCCACTTGCACTCGTCCCATTAAGAGATACATTTCCAATAACACTTTTTATGTTTAGTAAGTATTTATCAAAATTATAATCCTACCAAATGATTACAATGATAACTCAATCTAGAAGAAATTTTTTAATGCTCGTAGTTTTATGTTTAAAGGAATATTCTTTTCATAAACTTCAATTTGTATGCATTCTTCAGTTGTATAGAATTAAGCAGTGACCAGATATTTTCAAGCATAAAAAATATGTGCAGAACCCTCATCCATTGTTGGTGGGAATATATAATGGTATAGCCACTGTGGGAAACAGTTTGATGGTTCCTCAAAAAATTAAACATAGAATTACCACTCCCAATCCTAGGATTATACCCAGAAGAAGTGAAGGCAGGAACACAACAGCAACCTGTACACAATGTTCATTGCAGCACTTTTCACAATAGCCAAAAGTGGAAATGTCTGTCAGCTGATGTATGGATAAACAAAATGGTACATAGATAAAATGGAATACTACTTAGCTACAGAGAGAAGTGAAGTCTTGATGCATGCTACAACATGGATGAACCTTGAAGACATCGAGGTAGTGTAGTAAGCAGTAGCAGAAGGAGAAATGGTCTCACTTATATGAAATAAGCAAATCTACAGACACCCAAGAGTATTAGTCATTACCAGGAGAGGGAGGGAGGGAGGGAGAGGCCTAGGGACATTGCGTTTTTGTTAATGATGGTAGAATAATTTGGAAAAGGATAGAGAGAATGGTTGCACAGTTTAAAGAATATAATCAAACTCACTGAATTGTAAATACACAAATTGTTGAGTTGGCGTGTGGTTTGTTATATATATTTTTCACCACAATTAAAAAAAAAATTTAGTGGTGTGGGTGAAGTAGAATAAGCAGTTGCTATTGAATCAATTCCCACTAATTGCAGCATGATGTATGTGTCAAAGTAGAACTGTTCAGAGGTTTTTTAAGGACTGATTTTTCAGAAGTAGATCACCAGACTTTTCTTCTGAGGTGCTTCTGGGTGGAATCAGACTTTAAACCTTTCCATTAAAGCCAAGTGCATTCATCATTTACATCACCCATGAGATCCATTGCTCCCATGTAAATGCATGTGTGCTGCCTTTCTAGAGAGCTTTTAAAAATACTTTATTCTCAACGAGTTATTAGGAACTGTGACTACAAAGAAATGACTCATTTTTTGATATTCCAGAACAGATGCATCTCAGTTGCATTGTTCCTATCAAAATAATTGCCTGAGGAGGCATACGCTTAATGTCAGTGACAGAGCCATTACTCAAAAATCTTTACGCTTCTGCTTTGGAATTGACTTCAAAGCATACAGCACAATCTTTGAACATCCTTAATGCTTACAAATGTTTGTCTTTGGAGGACAGATTTGCTTTTTTTTTGGAGGAAAGGTCATTCATACAGAGATCTAGTCACTGTGGTAGATGATCAAACTGGGCAGTAAAAATAACCTGTCTCAAACTCTGGAAGTGTCAGTCACAAAGTTGGAGCTTTCCATAGCAACAACGAGATACAAGATAACCATTAATCCCTTGTGTGTCATATATGACAAGTATTTATTGTCTTTGCACCGAGGCTGAAGGGAAAAATCCCAGCCATGTCAAGGTCACTGGCTGTGTTGTTGTTGTTGTTGTTATGTGCCGTCGAGTCGACTCCAACTCATAGCGACCCCTCCTTGGGTTTCCGAGGCAGTATCACTACGGAAGTAGATTGCCCAACCTTCCTTCCGAGGAGTGGCTGGTGGGTTTG